GATTTACTTTTCCATCTGCGTTTATTTTATATTCTGGCTAAAAACGTGAGATATGAAATAATTTAATTACTCGCGTAGTCTTTTAATTAAATATCATTATGTTTGCCTTATTATAACTTATTATAATTTTATTTTATTAAGATATTAACAAGAGAGAGATGTATGTAAGCTAAATATTTAGTACAGTTAAACTTAAGTCCCAAGCACTAAATAATTTTAATTTTATATTTTATTTTATATTTAACGACACAAATAAATACACGCTTGAAGGAACTTAGCACTAAATGGTAAATGGATCGATTTTCCCCGAATACCGCGTGCGAGTAGACTGCGCGTGAGTTCACGCGTGTAAGTTACGTGGTAAAGTTATCCCCTTGGTAACGAAAGAGATGGCAGAAAACCGAGAGCATTCTCATGTCCGATTGTTGTGCTCCCTCGACCAATCTCCCTCGACTACGACCAATCTCCAGACCGAGTTTGCTAAACGCATTTTTTGGTCACTCTACCTCCCTATGGTTTAATCTTAGAAGTAATATCGCGCGTAGCATATGTTGTAAACACCGTTTTTTCTTCAGCATAAAAAGAAGCTAAGTCTCTTTGACATTTAGAGATAACCCAAACATTCTTTATTGTATACGGAAAATTTTATATTAAAGTATATATTTGGTATACATTTTTTAGAAAACTTTATTTTTACAAAATATTACCATTTATAGTTGATAATATAAATAACACACAATTACATAAGTCAAGATTGAACTCGAAATGAACTATTTTATTCTATTGAAAAAAAGAAATGAAATAACAAACACATATTACGAAACGAGTGTTAACGATTATACGAAACTATCCTAAAGAAGGAGATTAAGAAAAAAACAGGTTTAATCAAGTTTATTGAATTTCCATAAACTATTTCGTTACTGCAGTTTCAAGGTAATATCTGCTCCTCGTACATTCAGTCTTCCACTGCTTGCATCTTCTCCTCACTCAAGCTTCCGTTTGAAGTAACCGCCGTAAACCTACCCCTGGAGATTTGACTCCGCGCAGACTTCTCTAGAGAGCATTTCCACATTTTCTACTTTCAGCTACGGCTCCTGCATTCACACTCGTCGCGGCAAATCGAAATTCATAGGTGTACCTTCGATTGAATTTTCTACCTTGAAGGGAATCGTGGCTAACTCGACCGCCTCGTTTGTTTCCTTTCTCTTTTTCACGTAGACATAAATCCTTTAATATATTCGTAACACTGATTCGTACAAATAAAACGTACAGATATTCTAATTGATAATTGAATAATCGTGTGAAACGATAAATTGTATTATCGTATAAAATATACATTCTGTGAGCTAAACTAAATTTTGTAAATATCTATTGAAGTTAGGACAGTTGAGACATGTTTCTAGAACATTAAGTTATTGTTCAGTCGAGCGTCATTCGTTTCACTATAAAGTGTATCATGAATATGTCTAAGATATAGTTCGATAAGATTGTGTCTCTGAGTATAAAAGGTAAAGCGAAGTAAGGTTTCGTTATAGAGCAGCGGTCGCATTAACGGCTGTACAAGGTACAGAACTTTATACCTGCCGTGATAGAAGCTACTAAAAGTCGTATAAAACTCATGGTGACACGGTCCGTTATGAAGGGCAGTTATCGGCGAACAGACCATTTAATTTGCGCTTCTGGATTTCTCTTTACAGGCTGACGTTTTTCTCCTTGGACTTGTAAATAAAAGGCCTCAAAGTGTACGGCGCCGTGGAGAAGACGTTTCACCCGTTCGATCTGTGCAGCAGGTTAACACCCTCCAGATTTATTAGCTCATTAATTTGTACTCCAATAATAGTGCCGAATCGTTTACAAATCGCAGAAAGCAAAAAAAAATATTGCTATATCCTAGATTTATTATTCAATTACCTATTAACTGCGTATATATTAAAATTATTATTCGTATATGTTGAAATTATTATTCTTATATAAACATATCAATATAATCTAATATGATGAAACTTTTGATATATATATTTCGTATTTTGTAAAGGAAGTTCTATTTGCAAGATATTGTGTATTTTGTTGCATATAGTTAACAATTATCATCAGAAATTGTTTAATTTTGCAGATTCTCCCGCGTGTTCCAGCCCGGAACACTGGCCGGTATACAAGGTAAGTTATATAATATATTAACTGTAATTTTAACTTATTAATAACATTCCTTTTCTATTTTGTTTGGTTATATACAAAATGAAACATGTATTAAAGTGTTTGTTTTTATGAATGTTAAGGAATTTTATAAATTGTATTATACTGATTGTATTATGATTTATCCACAAAAAAATATGAAATTGTGTTAACATCTACATCCGACACTTGGCAATCAAACGATACAATGGCGACGTTGTTAGGTAGAAAATTCGTAGCGATATACTTTCTTCCTTTTCCTAGGCCGGTGTGTCCGCAGGTTAATTCGTGTTAATGCAGTGAATAGTCGAAAGCTCGAATGAAAATCTGACGGTAAACCTACCATTTCCTAGGTACGTACTCGCAGTAAACAGAGGATTGTATACAACCGCGTCGTACTAAGCCCATAGCTACTAAACCGCGCATACTACCTATAAATGGGCGGGCTGCTATAAAGTCCATTCATGATCGCGTCGCCTGTACAACAAACGTCGGGTGGCTCGCGCCTCCCGCGCGATTTATTACACTCGTATTCAAGCACGAGTTGTGCTTCCTACTTAGTACACGTGTACGCTGACGCGATCGCGTTCGAAACCGTTTCATTGTCTGGCACGCCGATGACAGACCAATCGACCCCATTTTCATTCGCGTCACATTGAATCTCATTAATCGTATAAACAGACATATGTTTGAATTGTTTACCTCGTACGGCGCCAGACGATGAGGAATTCCCTGTTTATCCCTCCTATTTTACTTCTCTATTCGTACGATAAAATTTGATTGTCTCGGTTATCACCACTTTTGTGATTGATTTTTTTGAATATTAATGCTGTGTAATATTCGAATGAGGAACGCATAAAAGCTGAATTAAATCCATTTTATTTTTTTTTTCAAAATTTGTTAATGAGTTTTCGTGATAATCGTATATCTGGTATTAATAAATATATAAGAAATGATTTAATCATTAAGCGAGATTCCGAAGATTGAAAAAAGTCCACCGAATTCAAGTGTAATTGAAAAATTCATTATAGAATTTTCTTGGAAAATTGAGGGTTTCCTTGTCTGATGCATTATGTTCATTAATACGTGAATCTCGCAATCGGGTAGCACACGACACTGATGGACGGACAGATGGAAGGCGTGTGTGCTACTGGAGTTGTTGTCAGACCGTTTTACTTTACTGCCCATAAAAGTACCGAGATTTAGACTGCAATACTGCCATGACGTATTGCTCGCGCTGTATGTGCATGCACCTACACACCATCGAAGATGACGCCGGCTGCCACCGGCCGTGATCCATGAGGGCACCTCACCAAGCATGTGTGACATCTTGTGGAAAGAACGGCAAAAAATGTTTCGACATGTCCCCAAAAGAAGTATGGCAATTGTTATCACTTGAACATAAATTTGTTACTATAGTAACAATAACATAGAAGCTAAAGTGACAAAATAAATATGCGTGTTTAGGTGCTAAGAAAAAAAAAGAAAAAGAAAAACATTTTTTACTTTCGTTTTTAGACTTTCGCGGCCATTGATACAATCAGGGTGTGTTTCTTCCGGATGGATATCGCGTCGTAATTCAGCTTTGTGCCGACGTTTCACAAATATTGTAGCTTGCATCATCAAGGCTAGGAGCTCCGATACTGAATTATCCTTATATACTTTTCCATTTTTCTAAGTGGGGGTTGCGGGAAATGGGAAACAGGGTAGGAGAAATGTTTCGACCAATCATATTAATTGGTCAGCTGGTCAATTAAAAAAAAGTTTTAATTAGATCCGCATGTAACTAAAAATTATTTGAGTTGTATTAAATGTCAGATGTGTCTATGCCGAAATTTTTTCGTTATTTCATGAAACTTGCTTTCCTCGGAAAATGTAATACATCATTTAATCATATCAATATTATATTCAATAAAATCACACAGATATGTATTCTGAAGTGATAATGTCATTTATCAATTTTATGTTATTCACTATGTTGGAGACTATGTATCTTCCAATAATTGCAACATGGTATTGAAAAACCAAATTGAAAAGCAAAATGTTGCAGGGTCCAATTTTATTAGCCAGAATTTTAATAGCCATCATGTTTTGTTACGGTTCGTAAGTTATGTCAATTATGAGCATATTTCGCTTCGAAATGCTTCAATGCTACAAATGCTTTAAAGTGTTTAAAATGTGATATACTTATAAATTAGGCTGCGTTCAGCAGAAATAAATACATACTGATTATTATATATGACCGAAATATGCTTTTAGATCTTTGTTTATTACAGAAAATAAGCCAATCAGGAGCATTAATCGTTGAGCGTTGACTTCTGCTGAATGTAATCAATGACATATATTAGCAATATATTAGTAATTTCATATATGTTTTTAGAATATTTCAGAATTAAATGAATTGCACTCTATGTTGCATGGGCGAAACACATCAATACATACGTACGTGTATATATGCGCACACTCTACTGGTTTTTAAATTCACGAATAATGATATGGAATATCGTCAACTACAAAAAAGACGGAAAAATATTTGAATGAGAAAATTTCATCAACTTGTACATTTTAACGAAAAAGTATTTGCATACGTTTAGCAGTGGAAATATACGTAACAGAATGGTCATATATATTCCATTCAAACTGATAAATATAATAAAAAGAGAAAGAATACAAGAGTATGTTAGTTCAACACTAAGATATTTGCTAAAAAAAAAAAGAACGATATTTCTCAATGAATAAAGTTATTCAGTAAATATAGATCTTTATCGAGTTATCGAAAAGAATTGTCGTTCGTCTTTTATTTATTTGTGATTCATAGTCACTTCGCTTGTACTCTGTTTACGACGAGTTGAGTGATATCAAGGTATTCTCGGGGAAAAAAGCGGCACCGAGAGATTCGGCGTTTTGCGATACTCCTCGAAAGCAGAAAGCGGTCTCTCCGTGTTAGTATGTTTGCGTTCGCTGGCTCACGACGGCGGAGAAGGAAGGGAAACAGATTAGAGCGAGTGCGAAGGTAGGGGGAGTGTGGAGGAACGTGCGCGAGAGAGAAGCGGTTGCAAGAGAAGGGTGGGAGACCGTCCGTTTGCTTGCCAAACGATCCCAAAGATCGCGCTAGTGTCGCTTTCAGCTCGTTCGCCTCCGAGCCGCAGGCAGAGCTCTCAGTTGACGCTCAGTTCGGCTCAGCGAGGCCAGCGAGAAGAAAGGGGGTCTTTCTATGTGTGTGAGCGTCGTGCGTGTGTATATCAACGCACGATTTTCGAGGTCGGAGGCGTTATTATTCGTTAAAAATTCTCCGCTGCGTTATACCTGTTATTAAAGGGTGGTTTTACTCGACTTGATTGATTATAAAACAAGACCCGATAAACAAGGATTTTGGCTCGATAAGGAAACGCACTTTCTCTCCTTGGACTTCGTGACAGTCTCTGTGCTTTTAATGGTCGTATTTGTGACAGCAGTGGATTTTGTGATTGGATAGGCTACGACGGATATCAGTCGCACATAAAAGGAACGTTTGATGAAGTGTCTTCGAGATCCCTTCGCAATGGGGATGACAGTAATCGCAGGTGACGGAGACGGGGTGACACGCGGCTCGTACGTAGTCGGCCGCGGGACGATGATAGCGCAGTCAGCCGCACAGTGAATTACGTTTTATCCGCCAAGAGATCGACGATTGCCAAGTGTCCCGTCTACTACATGTTTTAAACGCATGCTAGCTCTAATGTTCCGTTCTGGATACTGAGTCCGCGTAGCGACTAACCCGACTGACAGACCAACTGTTCGCAACTCCGCTACTTTTACGGTCCGTATATGATGCACACTCTCTCTAAATCGGGCTGTGTTATTTTGTTTTCGTTCCAATCCTCATTTTACATCGTTGGACCGGCCGATTATTGGACGACTGTACATAATATTCATACAATCTACTAACGGACTGCATCCACGACGATCGCACGTGGTACGCTCGCTGTCACATTGATCATCCTGTCTGTTGCCGTCAACATCGTCGTGGGATCATCGGTGTCATCGCCGCGTGTGGATCTTTCCTCGGCGGATTTGTCACGTACTTTATCGCGCCCCTGTGCTATCCTCTGTGCTGCTTGTGCCTCCTCGCTTCTCTGTCCCTCGTTCACCTACCCCTCCACCTGTCTGCCGTGGCGCTGCACACCCTCTCCCCCGCCACCAACCCCTCATCGGACGCGCGCGTATTCGCACAATTTTCTCTATCCCCACCTTCTCCTCCCTTTGCTCCTCGCACCTTTACTACTTTCTGCACGCGTTTACTTTATCAACTCTGTGAATTCACGGATCAACACGGATCGGTCACGATGAGCTTGCCTCTTCTCGCTACTTGGTGAAATTTCAACTGATCTACCACGTGCGCAATTTATCGCGTTCATTGTCGTGGAATCTGTGATCTACGCTGTATACTGTTCGATCGGGATACCAAACATTGGCCGGGAAACATCGTTTCAACCTGTATTCCATTTATGCTCGTGTCATCGGGACCACACGACAACACTTTGAGTGTATTTCGGTCGAACTGTGCACGGATCGGCTGTGATTGTTATTGAACGGTGATCACGGGACCGCCATTCACGCCGACTGACGCTGATCCCGGCATAAATATTGTTATAACACCGGTAATTAACCGTCATCATCTGCACCATCGCCGATCACGTGGCTTGCTCGACGGCGACGTTGTACGATAATGTTCACGCCGCGCCTTTATGCGGCTCCGGCGTGGGCCATCCTGGCTCCGTCACGCCGATGGGGACAGCAACCGGAGCGGGGAATTCCACCGGGGTGACCTGGTGGGCCATGATGAACGGTTCCCTCTACGAGGACAGCCCGCCGCCAGTTCCACCGACAGCCTCAACGCTCGTGTCAATCCAACAGCAGGCCTCGACACCGGGTTCCCATCAACAGGCCACAACACCAACTTCACCCGGTGCACCAGTGTCATCGGCAACGACAGCGCCACCCGCGCCTACGGCAAGTGCCAGTTCCACCTCGCCGAGCGCTTCCTCGGTAGCGAGCAACAGCGCAGCTGGACCGCTCCATATACCTGCCAAACGATTAACAGCAACACCAGGAGCCGGCGGTTCCACCTACGGCGAAGTCACTTGCGTAGAGTCCTCAGGTGCGCCAGGTGGTGCGAACGCAGCGGGCGTGATACGACATTCTCACTCGTCCTCAGCGGGTTCTCAAGGCGGTTGGAGTTACAGTCCGCATCATCCCCAGGACACTCACTACCCGTCCACGGCGGGTGAATCGTTGAACCATCATCAGACTTACGGGGGTAATAATCCCCCTACATATTACAACCTGGCGGCCGATCCTGCTTCGACCTCCGGTTCCTCTAGGGACAACCGGAAGGCCGGGGCTACTCTTAGTTTCTGGTCGCCCGCAGCCGCTACGGCTGGATCGGCTGGCACCGCCGGTTCTACCTCGGATTACAAATCTTACAACTCGGCTGGTGCGGCAACGACGACGTCGTCTACTGGCGGGTCCACTTCCGGTGCCACCGGTGCAACTGATCCAGCCGTGTCGTCCTGTCATCAGAGCTTTTCCCAGAGCTGGTGCAATTACGCGCCATACACGACGGCGAGGCATCATCATCCGGTCGACACGACCGGGCATCATCATCCTCACTCGCAAACGGGGGTACCGTACCTGACGCCATCCGCAGCAGACGACCGAGGTAGAGTCGCTGCTGCTATGGTTGCTGCGGAAGGTGCCTTTCCTCACGATGGATATGGTGGCCTGAGAAACTACGGAGCGCCTGAACCTGTTACCTCGAGCCCCTACCCACCTCCAGGTAAGCATCTACTCCGATTCGTTAATCTGTTTTCTCTCTTTCTCTTTCCCTCTTTCTTTCTCTCTCTCTCTCTCTCTCTCTCTCTCTCTCTCTCTCTCTCTCTCTCTCTCTCTCTCTCTCTCTCTCTCTCTCTCTCTCTCTCTCTCTCTCTCTCCCTCTTTCTCTATCTTTTTCTTCCTTTGCAGCTAGTATATGCATATTAGCTTTGTATCTCCTTTAAACTCATATATTATGAGCTGAAACTTGATACTCTTCTTAATATTCAGTAGTAAACACCCGGTAATGTCGTGAAAGAATTTCTATTAAGATGTTGATCCGTATCGTTGAATAATTAATGGGGATAAAAAATTAATTCGTCGAAAGTGTAAACATCAGACAGTTCTTAATCTTACAAGCGTTGACATAATGTCTCTCATAACACAACATGTGGAAATTTCATGTCAGATGAAATTTACGACCTTGTGATATAACATTGAAAATCTCTAATTGATTTGTTTGTCATAGCGATGAGTTGAACAAAAACGTATCCAGAAATGTCGCTATGAAGAAAAACGATCGTCATTAATTTGTACTAATTGCGCATGACTTCCTATTATGGTTTTCTTACGTATTCTTCAACGATCATAACGAACTTATTCGATAAGTAAAGACTACAGTCATCGTTCATTCACGTATTTGGTCGTTCTCTTTTGTCCTTTCTCCCTTCTGTCCTTTTCTCGAGACCCTGCAGCCCATGAAACGTCGCATGAGCAACAACGAACGGCGGCGGGTTTATTGGCGGCCGTAACTCGTAAACTCTGGCGCACGCCTCCGATCAGCTGATCCGTTCCATGACCCGTGCAGACGTTCAGTCTTCTACGGCTAACGGCTGTTCGCTTGTGTGCTTGTATTGTCACGACTATTCTCTCCTTCCTTTCCTTGTTTTACTTTTCATCGATAGCCTTTTTCATATTAAAATTGAAATTTTTTAAGGGGAACTCGATATTACTAGTTTTTAGGCTTTTGCGGCTATTGATACAATCAGGATGTGTTTCTTCCGGATAGATATCGCGTCGTAATTCAGCTTTATGCCGATGTTTCGCAAACATTGCAGCTTGTATTATCAGGGCTAGGAGCTCCGGCATTGAAATCGATATTTTAAACAGCAGTGCTTCATACTTATGTCTTCTTTACAGATAATGTCTGTAATTGTACTTTTTTTCATATCAAAACTGAAGTTTCTCAAAGGAAGATAAATATTTTAATAGCACTGCCTCATATATATATTTTGTTTACAGATAATGCAACTGCTGTCTGTAACGCTTCATATTTCGCAATATAGATTATGTTGTTATATAATATTCCATTAATGTTTCTTTCACAACATTAATGCACTTCTTGTTATATAACAAACGATCTTATAATTTATCATATCGGAATATGATAAATCATATCAAGGCATCGGTTTCTCACAAATGCCATGCACTTGGAAATATCTTAACGTCACGATACCTGTTTACAAGCCATATCTTGTTCGTTCGTTCGTTCATTCGTTCGTTCGTTCATCCATCTAGTCTTCCTGCTGAATTGTCGCTGCATGCTGTACGACGTTCATCGTCACGATTTATCGTTACTTTGTTGCTCATGCGACCACCATCGACAACGTTCTGATAACCGGGATAGCATCGCGTGATCGGCCGTAAGTTAATCGTATGCATACTCCACGATGTGCGCGCGCACACACGAGCGTGTGCTGTACATACAAAGTAACGAAATGCGGGCGTCGCATATAGTTTAAGCGTAGCCCAATAGATGGCGACTCCATTATCTTTGCCAGTTCGCTCGGCAGCAAAGAGTGCGCCGTTACACCGTATCGCGCCGAGCTATCCCGTATAAGTCTGGACGATCTCCGAGGAATTACAATGTTGGCCAGGTGTCCCCCTACACATGTGAATCTCCACATGAGATACTATCTTCGCTTCACGAGAGCGCAGGTTGCTGAGCATTTATCGGTCCGCATTTAATGTCTTGGATCGGTGTCCACGCTTAATTAAGCCTTTGGAACATAACGGTTGTCATTATATCCACATATATTACGAACCAAAATAAATTTAGCATTTAAAGTGGCTTTTTATCAAGTCTGATTTCTCCGCGATAAGATATTCTATTTGTAGAAGTATGCTTATAGTAAAATTCGAATGGAATCTGCGGGAAGTCGTTTATGTCTTCATATAAAAGATTCTATCTTTACGTTGTTTGTTAATTGAGTAACGCCACGCTATCGAATAAAGAGTTACCCGGGAACACGATTATTGTTTGATTTGTTGATCTAATTGTTTAAGCATTTTTTGTAGTATCATTATTCGGTACGTCTAACATATTTTTAAAATATCTTTATCTTTATACAAATATTTAATTTATACGAAGTGATAACAAAAAGATGGTAGATATAAAGGATATCAAGTTCTTCCCGATCGATATTACACTCACGTTACGTTACGCGCGACACAACTCCCCAGCTATGAACCCTTCGACCATTTCTATCAGGACGTCGGCTATCAGTCGAGGAAACTTACTACATTTTCCAAACGATCGCTGAACATCTTTCAATCTTCACATATTATCTGTCTTTCTTATTATCTACTCTGTAGAATTCCCAATCTATTTTACTTCAATTTTCAACATTTTTTAAAATTTACGTTGTTTCCTAAATCTTACGATTTTTCTTGAAATAAAAAATATCTATCATATTTTTAAATGTTTCATATTAATTGTATAATATGGAAAATAAATATTTTTTATTAAGATTTGAAAATTAATTTAAACAATTATTGGTCTTTAAGAATGAATGTTATTGTCATTGTAATGCGCCAATTAAATAATCTATCTGTACATTTGATAAAGTATTTAATTTACAATTTTCCTTATGCACATGTCTTCTCCACTTATCCCATCCACGTTGATTTTATGAGAAACTTAACCTTTGTTAAATAATTTACATATTTTCATATCTTAATATGTAATAAATTTCTATTGGTTAAGCAATCGTGGGGAGGTAACGAAAGAACGTACTATATGGAAGAGGGAAATAAAAAGAAGCTTGAAAGGACAGAACGAAAAGAAACAAGAATTAGATTGAATTATAGCTCGAGAAATGTAATTCTTCGTTCCTTGGAAAAGCATTCGATTTGGAAATTAAAAATTTAAAGTAACTTTTTGCATATTGAACAAATATAACCCACATTTATATATTTATTAGTTTTGGGACGTTATATAATTTTAATTTAATTCTAATGTTGATAAGTCTAAGAATTGGGGGGCCAGCTGGGGTACATGAAGACACTGTCTGAAATATTACGTTGTTTCGCGGATGGTGGATCCATTGCAAGCATATGTTCCGTCGGATCCGACAATGTTGCATCCGGCAGTGTGCAACAGTGCTTAGCCAGATCTTAAATAGAGTAAAAATAGACTACTCGATCCATGCTGAATTATATTTTTACACATCGAGATGTCGTCTTATCGTTAAATTAATCATTGCCTTGTTGCTCCAGTTACTTGTCATATATTTTGTTTCAACGTAAAATCAACTTCCGCACAAAAATATTATAGAATATATCATGTAATATGCGAAAATTCCAACTACCATTTTTTATGGCTTAATAAAACACGCAAGTTGCGCGCCAAAACGTTATTCATCGGACGTCCAATCACAGGCGTAAAAAAGCGCCTCAACATTTTTACGCTATATAAAGTGCAGTAATATCCGAGGAACTCATTATGCTTTTCGCTTGTGTTCGAGGAAAAAAATATTAAATATTGAAAATAAACGACAAGCCGAACAGAAACAATTTTGTTGCATTCGTGTATACGTGAAGACGTTTATCCAGCCCATAGCTGGGTTAAAGATAGACGGATGAGTCGCTTTCGTAATCGCTTCATTTCACTAGCGCGGCTTTACCGTATGTACCTTATGCTATCCTGTCTTATATTCCGCGTTAACAAACGCGTTTGTCTCGCTCCACATTCTGCATCTGCAACGAAGCATAGTATGTTCTGTTAAAAACCACCAAGTCGTCCGGACACTAGAGAACGGATCCAACAACGGTTCCACGCACCCGGCTCTATTTCATGTTTTCCGCACGGATAGTAGAACCGGTCCAATTATATCATCATACCACAGCGCTAGGAACGGCCGCGACACCCTCATGTATACACGTACATGTATACCCACGCATAAATGAGCAACGTTGCACACGCATATACACCAGACGTCACATATGTCTTAACATTATGGCTGGGGTTGTTTGTATATATATATATATATATATATGCATCATTGTACACATTACATATGTTTTTTATACACATGCAAAATGTGTATATGTAAAGTTGAAATCGTAGGAAACTTTAGTAACTGTTAGGACCTATACGGAGATAGATGTACAGCTGAAGTGCACGCTTCGACATTCAAAGTCATTCCAGGTGCGGAGGTAGTTTATAATGCACCCTATGCAGCGATTTAGGTCTTCATATGATAGAGAAATGAAAAAATCAAGAATTGAAGCATTTTCCTTCATACAATCGCGTATATATGTATCTGGCAAAAACTTTGTGCGATAAATAAACACAATTCACTTTTATTAATTTGTTATATCTGGGGCAATAAAATTATTTATAATGACTGTGAATTGTGTTGAGATTATAGCATTTCTTAAAAGAAAATGAATAACGGTATTGGTTATGCACTGATACACACTGGCTAATGAACCGACGCATTTGCTTTTGCTTCTATCAATCTATACTATATTAATTGCAGTAGACATAAGAAAGGGGAACAGATGCAACAGTTTTCTTCATACGAAATCTGCTCGAATGTGTTGTCGAATATATATGGAAGTAATTTATCAACATTAATAAACTTATTTACCAATCTCTTGTGACATGGATTAGTTTTACGAATTAATCCAAATCAAATTGTAACAAACACTATATAAGGTTAAAAGTAGTAATATTGAAGTCTGTTTTACTAGTGTCAGATTGGAATTGTCACCTTCGAGCAGGATTTCCTTGTCAAATATTACTAGCTAGCAGCTAGGTTGTTTATCATCGGCAAACTAATTGTGTTAAGTGATGTGGGGTTCCTCCCCATCTTCCTTGTTTCCCGCAGGTTCGCTTGCGGGAGTAGGCGTCGGGGTTGGCGTAGCCGGAATGGGTGTTGGATGTGGCAGTTCCAATCCCTTAGAATGGACGGGCCAGGTGACGGTACGGAAGAAACGCAAGCCTTATTCGAAGTTCCAAACTCTCGAGCTCGAGAAGGAGTTTCTCTTCAACGCTTACGTGTCGAAGCAGAAGCGATGGGAGCTTGCGCGCAACTTAAATCTGACCGAGCGCCAGGTCAAGATCTGGTTTCAAAATCGCCGGATGAAGAATAAGAAGAACAGTCAACGGCAGACCCAACAGCAGAACAACAATAACAATAATAACAATAGTAGCGCCAATAACGCGAATCATCACGCAGCGACCGGTAGTCATCATCATCCAAGTACTGCTCACGCGCCACCTTCGAGTCACCACGTGGTTGCGCAGGCGCATCACGCAAATGGCTCGACGAAACATCATCAGTGACCCGTAGCCTTCTCTGGGGTCGTCTTCGGGCATCACCACCACAGCCACACTTCGTCCAGCAGCGGTGGCAGTCACGGAGGCAGCCATAGCAGCCTGGTAGCAGGTCACAGCCATAGCCTTCATGCGCCGCAGCCCCAGACACCGCTGCCGCCGACTCACGCATCGTCGTCGGGAACCGTGACTCCCGCCACAGCCGTGGTCCATCCACATGCACACGCACACGCACACGCTGGCAGCCACCATCATCAGCTGACGCATGTGGCTCAACAGTATCCTGCGCTTCTACATCAGACGCCTCACGGCTTGGCCGCCTAAACATATTGGACGCCCCAGAGAAAATTAGTCGAGACGCTTCAGAGAAAGAAAGAGAAAGAAACATATATAGAGGTAGAAAGGGCGAGATAAAGCGATGATAGAGATAAAGTGAGGAAGATAGAGAGGGAAAGAGGGAAAGAGGGAGAGAGAGAGAGAGAAAGAGATAGACAGAGAGAGAGAGAGAGAGAGAGAGAGAGAGAGAGAGAGAGGGAGAGAGAGAGAGAGAGAGAGAGTCGAGGCGATTCCATGAAACCGTCGATCAATATCCACGTCCACAGAAACGACGAAAAATCCTCATGGACTCTATCGAGCAGCCGTTTAAAGACTGCCTCCACTTGTAAGGAAAGATAAAGTTCGCGCGTAGTATATTATTAATTATTAATTATTATTATTAATTATTATTATTATGATTCTTATTCAACACAAGCGAAGAGACTTTCGCTATTGTATAAAAGGGGCGCATGTGGGGCTGCTATTTTAAGCGGCCCGAAGACTCTCCGAGTATCGGTAATCAGGTGTCGGTATTGTACGAATAATACATGTCATCATGCGACACCAAGCAATCTGTCCAATTCGTAATTTGGTAGTATTTTCTCCAGTTATACATACATCTATACATACATACATATGTACATGTGTGTGTGTGTGTATATATATATATATATATATATACATACATACATACATATATATATATATACAATATGTATATATATACTTACACACATATATGTATGTATATATATGCATGTACGTATACATATATATAAAGTAAAGAGTAATTAATGTCACTTAGTATATCCCTGCTCTCCCTATCGCCCTAAAATCTCACCCTCCTTTTCCTCGCTCCAAGTGCATCGTGTCGTTACTTCGTCTTACACTATCGAGCCCAGATTGCACATTGGAAATTGGAACGTCTTACAGTTATACACGGGATTGATCCCATCAGACGTCATTGATTTTACAGATAGGGCTGGATGGTCCGTTGAGAACAGCAGATTGTAAAGCGGATAGTTTCTTTTGAAGGGTAAGTGGACTCACACTGATCTCGTCTATAAATGCATGTGTATCTCTCTTTAAATTAGTCTTTCACTTCGACATTTACGATTACGTTAGAAGTTACGATCGCATTAGAGAGTTACAGAATTTGTGTCAATTATCTACATACACATACTGTTGAAAAAAGTGATGTTAGCAAAAAATTTTTACGGCACATCATTTATAAATAATTTAATTTTCTATATTCTTAAAACGTTTATAAAACATCACAAGGGTATCGTTAACAGATGGATACACGCAATATATTTTTGTTTTTAATTGATGACGATTCCGATTTTTATAATTCAGACTTTGATTTTTATCAATAAATACAACGTAGCTATATTTGCGGTGTGGTTCAATGTCGTGACACATATTGCAATATATCACAATGATTCTTTTTTGACCGAAGTACAAGTCAAAATAATTCAGAAGTTAAATGTATTTTTCTTTCATCAATCAATTTTGTTCAATCTCATGATAAAATGAAGAACGCGTGGTGAATTTCGAAGTTAGCGTAAAACACGAACGCATCCAAAAAATTAGGTAGCTATGTCCACAATGTCGTATTAATCGCCTACCAAGGATCGCAAACTAGTACCTATAATTCTTATACTGTATGTAAAAAAATGATTTATGTTAAAAGCATACATAGTAGTCAGACTAGTGAATGGTCGATTGTACCATTCTAGGCTGAGTTTGGGAACTTCGTGAAAACTACGGTATTATGCAGGGTCAAGATTGTACGCTCAGTATTTTCATGCCCACACGCGGGCGAAATTCTTGCCGTGAAAGAAGCAAAAGATTGTAGTATTTAACAATCTGAGTAACTTCACCAATTATTGACGACAATATAATTGTAAATCATTATTTTTATCTTCGGTGAGACATCGGATATTGTGAAAGTTTTTCTATTAATTATTTATATTCAAGTAACATGATTTTTCATACTATTAGATGTCTAAAAAAGTCGTCGACATAATACAAATATTCTAAAATGACAGATAGTTGCTTGTTAATATTTTATTAATATTAAGGATTCGTAAATCTGAGAGATCAATCATTATATTTTTATTGATTGTATCTTATGTCTCTTTTTATTACTGGTAAATCTAAAATATGCACAAGTAATGCATTTTTATGTGTGAAATATTATATATTAACAAAATTTACAAGTATATAAATTTTGTTAATCAATAGCTAACAATGTATTAACTTACACAATACTATCACATATACGCATGCACGCGCGTGTGTGTAGCGTCCAGTAAATGTCACGGTTGTTGATCTCTGGAAATCCAATGAATGTGGCACTTCGTAGTTGTCTTCCGGTTATTTTACATCTTTCGTTTAAAACCGATGTTCGCGTCTTTCACGACGAGAAAAAAAATGTATAAGAAAAAATCGATCTCGTATGAAAGAAGTCCTAAGCGCGGCCAGAATACAAGCAGATAATACTTTTTAATCAGAACATCAGCGAGTAAGTAATTTAATCAGATGTTTAATGCAAATTAGGAAAATCTACCCCAATGGATCTCTATTCTAGGTGCAACATTATTTAAATTATAAGGGACTGTCGGTCTGCGCGTGAATGGCTACTATATATTATATATGCATATTTTGTGGCCCCTCTGTTTGTGTGTGTGTGTGTGTGTGTGTGTGTGTGTGTGTGTGTGTGTGTGTGTGTGTGTGTGTGTGTGTGTGTGTGTGTGTGAGTGTGTATGTGTGTGCGCGCGTATGAATGGATGTATGTGCGTGTATGCTTGCTGAGTAAATGAGTATTGAGTATGTATGCGTAAATGTACGGATAGATGCGAGTATGCGTATGTGTGCGTAGCTATGCGTACGCATGTGTGTGATTCGTGTGTTTATGTGTATGTATGTTTCTATGACAAATGCATTTTTGTCTGGTACAATGTATGAACGTGTTATACGGTTGTGGATATGAAGGTTGTGGGTATGCATCTATGAAATGAAAGGCAGATACACGCTTCGCGCGGAAAATCGATAGAGAGAGAGGAGGGAGAAAGAGAGAAAGGGAGGGGCAGAAGGGGGATGGAAATGAGAACGAGAATGGAGAAAGAAGGGTTGAAAGATCAAAAAAGCGATAAAGGAAGAATGAAAGAAATGCAAGAAGGAAAACTCTGGATTGGGAATTCTTAGGTATGTGAAATAATAGCGAGGATGAATAGATAAATTCAGCGCTAACGAGCATGACAGAAAGAATGAATATGAACTCGTGTGAGAGACTGAGTTCTGGACAACTGTATAGTTCTGCCACATGGTACTGTAACAGAATTATGTAACGATGATAATATAACACAGTATAAGTGATAACGAAATATATAATTTTAAGTGGAACATTTAAATAGGAAATTTCGAGTGGATGGTAGCGGTCATGTTACGTTTGCCGTACCGTCTGAGCTTTGCTGCAAGTTGATTGTAATTAATTATATGCTGCTGACGATGTTTATTACGAATATTAAAATTCTTAAGATTATTATTATTATTATTATTATTATTATTATTATTATTATTATTATCATTGTGAGCGTCACGTTAATATTATGTTATTGTTTTTATTGTGTGTTGTTTTGTATGTACCTATCAGCCTACATAATAATAATAACATTATTATCACGATAATCCCCATATACACGCGCGCATACACATACACACAGACACGGTAAAGGAACAGGGAAAGGAAGCATAAATAGACATTATTATCTTTGTCCGCTCTAAATACTGGCATAATTTTTCAACCCACAAGTTTACGGTGCACGAACTAAAGAGATATTTCAGATCTGCTAATTGACAAAAGGAAGTTATATATTTTCCAATAAAAAATTTGCAATAGCCTAGGTGATGCTAATTTTCAATCAATAGCTTGGAATTTAAAACTGGAATAATTTGAAAAAAAAGAAGATTATATTATATAGTTAAAGCACCGAAAATAGTGGAGTGCTAGGAAACACGTTTTATTTAAAAAAAAAAGTTGTTTTTATATAGAGATGTTTTTAAATGTTTTGTGTAATTCAGTTGCTAAAATATTTTTCTGTTATTTTTATATGTAGCGACGAAACTACGATGCATTATGTCATTTGGACAAATTGAGAGAGAGAAACTGTGTTGTAAAGAATTAAGTTATATTATTATGTTTTTCCTGTCTAGTATTGCTGTTTACGCGATGAAAAAATGTTTAAAAAAGAAATCGATTAGCCACTTCATGTCACACTGTATATTATCATGCGCTGTATCTGTAAATTATATGTGTGAATATTAATAGTTTAATATTCCGTTTAAAAAAAACTCCATCCTTTATATGACATATATGACATAAACATATAACAAAATATTACAAATAAATCGTCATGTTTTCTTTGTCAAATTGATTTTGTTCAATCCATTACGCGCGTAAAAATAATGAAGAAAAATATTTTTGCAATTTTTTACAGTATATTTTTTTTACAGTACATTTCGATGAATGTATACACCTATTAAAATGTAAAATTAAATTTTTTTCTTTCATATATAAGCTAAGATTTTTAATATAATATATTTAATATTTTTATGAATTTTCATGGCATAATTCATCAGGTATATTATTTGTTGTCAAAACGGTATACATGCCGAATTTGTATCATTATTTTCAATATAAAATGACCATACTTAATTTGTAACTTTAATCTGAAAAACTTAATTATTTTGCTAAATGAATGCTTTGAAAAACGTTTGAATTATAATATTGTTTGTTTTTTTATTATGACATAATTAAAATAATGACAAATAATTATAAAATGCATTACGTGCGAATTGTTTCTGTTAAAATACGTTTTTAAACATGTGCTTTTTATTCGAATTCTTCAATTCCTACATTTATCCACTCCTATTTTAATTGTATTTGTATGATATGAAATATGTCTTTAAGGTAAAACTTATATGCTACTTGTACATAAAACCACAAGATTATTCCTGTATCGAAGTGCAATAATAAAATATGTTAAATTAGTGCCAAAGCAATTGCAGAAAAAAAAAAAACATGAAATTTCTTCCATATGAAACGAAATTATAAGAGTTCAAAAAATTTTTTTATGAATTCCTTGA